TATGGGGCCACGATCCTCGTGAGGGGTGTGCCGAAATGGCCCGAGGCCGCCATGCGAACCCTGCCACTGGAGCCTTCGGTGGAGCTCCCTATGGGGCCACGATCCTCGTGAGGGGTGTGCCGAAATGGCCCGAGGCCGCCATGCGAACCCTGCCACTGGAGCCTTCGGTGGAGCTCCCTATGGGGCCACGATCTTCGTGAGGGGTGTGCCGAAATGGCCCGAGGCCGCCATGCGAACCCTGCCAGTGGGGCCTTCGGTGGAGCTCCCTATGGGGCCACGAAGCGGTGGGTGAAACGCAGGGATGAAGAGGAGGAAGGGGGCAGCGGGAGGAGGAGTGGACGCGGGGCGCTGTCTCTTCAAAACGAGGACCCAACACCACAGGATGGTTGGGAAAAAATCCTTGCGTGGCGGATTACATATTGATTCTTTCTGTCCCGGATTACACATTAATTCCTTGTGTGGCGGGGTGCAAGTTGATTCCTTCTGTGGCGCGTTACGACAGGATTCCTTTCGTGGCGGATCCCGCTTCCTTTTGTGCAGGGCCAGATACCAACAAAAGCAACATAATCAATCAACACCATAAAAAAAAAAAAAAAAAAAAAAAAAAAAAAAAAAAAAAAAAAAAAAAAAAAAAAAAAAAAAAAAAAAAAAAAAAAAAAAAAAAAAAAAAAAAACAGGCAAAACACATCAACGAAACATAGACATCTATGACGTTTTTTTTGTTGATCAGCGGCAGTAGCCCTGAGGTTTTTCAATGCTTTCCGTCCGAAAGCCAGTCGGGGCCTAGGTTTCGTTGATTGTTCCGCCTGGGGGTTTTGATGTTAGGTACTGGTTTTCCGTGCGTCTTCACTGATTGTGGTGTGTTTGTTGGTTTTCGGCGCCCTCTCCCGCCCAGCGCCGCCTCCACCTCGCCCCCGGGGGGGCGCGGAGAGCCAGAAATCAACGACAACAACAAGACAATCAATCAAGACATAAGGGAAAGCAGGAAAATCAAAGCCCCCAGGCAAAACAATCAACAAAACCTAGATCCAGATTTTGTTGGGGTGCTGAAGTGCAAAAGACACCCTAAGGTGTTGCAGTGCTTTTCGTCCGGAAACAAGTCGGGGCCTGCGGCTCGCTGATGTTTCCCATTGGCGGCTCTGGTGTTCAGATTTTCTTTGTGTTGTGATTGACTTTCCTGTGGCTGTTGGTTTTCGGTGCCCCGCCCAGCGCCGCCTTCACCTCGCCCTCGGGGAGGCGCGGACAGCCAGAAACCAACACAAAACATCGACATCAGTCAAAACACAAGGAACAACATGAACACCACAGCCACCATGCGAAGCAGTCGACGAAACCTGCGTACCGATTCATTGTTTTGCGGGAAGAAAACGTAGAAGCGGAGCTTCGGTTTCGTAGTTTTCTTTGTTTTGAGGCTATGATTTTAATATTTTTCCTTGTGCAGTCACGGGTTGTTTGCTGGTTTTCGGCACCCTCCCGCCCAGCGCCGCCTCCACTTCGCCCCCAGGGGGGCGCGGATAATCAGAAACCATTAAAGACAAGGCAATCGATCAAAACACAGAAACACAATAAGATCAAAGCCCGCAGGCGAAAATTAGCTCGGCGAAGGACCCAACCATATGCAGCTGCGATTACCACAAGGATACCAGTGTCAGGCTCCCCCCGACCTTCGGTGGAGATCCCTATGGGGCCGCGAAACGTGTGAGCGGTGTGCCGAAATGGGTGTTGGGGAGTGCCGAAATGGGTGGTGGGGAGGCATGCGAACCCTGCCACTGGGGCCTTCGGTGGAGCTCCCTATAAGGGCCACGAAACGTGTGCGGGGTGTACCGAAATGGGTGGTGGGGAGGCATGCGAACCCTGCCATTGGGGCCTTCGGTGGAGCTCCCTATGGGGCCACGAAACGTGCGAGGGGTGTGCCGAGATGGGTGGTGGGGAGGCATGCGAACCCTGCCACTGGGGCCTTCGGTGGAGCTCCCCATGGGGCCACGAAACGTGCGAGGGGTGTGCCGAAATGGGTGGTGGGGAGGCATGCGAACCCTGCCACTGGGGCCTTCGGTGGAGCTCCCTATGGGGCCACGGAACGTGTGAGGGGTGTGCCGAAATGAATGATGGGGAGGCATGCGAACCCTGCCACTGGGGCCTGCGGTGGAGCTCCCATGGGGCCACGAAACGTGTGAGGGGTGTGCCGAGATGGGTGGTGGGGAGGCATGCGAACCCTGCCACTGGGGCCTGGTGGAGCTCCCTATGGGGCCACGAAACGTGTGAAGGGTGTGCCGAAATGGGTGGTGGGGAGGCATGCGAACCCTGGGGCCTTCGGTGGAGCTGGGTGTGAGGGGTGTGAGTATGGTGGGGCCTTCGGTGGAGCTCCCTATGGGGCCACGAAACGTGTGAGGGGTGTGCCGAATGGGTGGTGGGGAGGCATGCGAACCCTGCCACTGGGGCCTTCGGTGGAGCTCCCTATGGGGCCACGAAACGTGTGAGGGGTGTGCCGAAATGGGTGGTGGGGAGGCATGCGAACCCTGCCACTGGGGCCTTCGGTGGAGCTCCCTATGGGGCCACGAAACGTGTGAGGGGTGTGCCGAGATGGGTGGTGGGGAGGCATGCGAACCCTGCCACTGGGGCCTTCGGTGGAGCTCCCTATGGGGCCACGAAACGTGTGAGGGGTGTGCCGAAATGGGTGGTGGGGAGGCATGCGAACCCTGCCACTGGGGCCTTCGGTGGAGCTCCCTATGGGGCCACGAAACGTGTGAGGGGTGTGCCGAAATGGGTGGTGGGGAGGCATGCGAACCCTGCCACTGGGGCCTTCGGTGGAGCTCCCTATGGGGCCACGAAACGTGTGAGGGGTGTGCCGAAATGGGTGGTGGGGAGGCATGCGAACCCTGCCACTGGGGCCTTCGGTGGAGCTCCCTATGGGGCCACGAAACGTGTGAGGGGTGTGCCGAAATGGGTGGTGGGGAGGCATGCGAACCCTGCCACTGGGGCCTTCGGTGGAGCTCCCTATGGGGCCACGAAACGTGTGAGGGGTGTGCCGAAATGGGTGGTGGGGAGGCATGCGAACCCTGGAGGGAGGAGGGCGAGGAGGAGGAGGAGGATGAGGAGGAGGAGAAGGAGGAGGAACGCGGGGACCGTCTCTTCAAAACGAGGACCCAACACCACTGGATGGTTTGGAAAAAAACGGAACCTAGGCCCCGACTCGTTTTTTTTTGTGTTGAAAGGCAACATAAACCCTAAGGTTATTCCTTTCTCGTCCGGAAGCCAGTCGGTTCTCAGGTTTCGTTGATTGTTTCGCCTGCGGTTTTGATTACATTATTTTCCTTGTGTCTTGACTGAATGTTTTTACTTCTTGGTTTTCAGCGCCCCCCCCCCCCCCACGCGCCCAGCTGGGGCTTTTCCTTGAGGCGGGGAGGTTGGTCGATTTGAAAGCAGCCAGAAAAAGCAGCAACAACAACTACATAACAAAGAGCACATGATAATGATAATACGGAAGAGAAAAAGAGGAAGAGGAACCGATCGGTGAACGTATCGTGGTTTTGATGGTTCGGGGGGTCGCGGGGGGGGGGGGGGGGAAGACCATATGTGGATCGCAGGGGTGGGGCTTACCATATTTATATAAATATGTAAGCATGCACCCCAGCAAGTGGTTTCTTCCAATCTGTGCGGTGCTATCCCGGTGGTGCAACCCATGTGGTGAAGTCTATGTGGTGTAAAGGAATGCCGAGCAATACACATCAGTGTATAGCAACGCAAAACAACGCAGTGCAATACAAAGCGATGCACAACAATGCAAAGCGATAAACAACGATACAAAGCAGCGCAAACCAATGCGATCGCAACGCGATGCAGTGCGATTGCAGCGCGATGCGATTGCACTGCGGTGCAATGCGGTTGCAATGCGATGCGGTTGCAATGCAACGGGGGGGGTGCAAAGCGGCGGCGACGAGCGGGAACGGGGCCGCCGGGGCCGCCGGTGCGGCGGCGGACGGGAACGGGGCCGCTGGGGCCGCAAACAGGCCCAGTTCCCTGCAAGGCATGCAAGAGCCATTGAATTCGAGCACTGTTTAGGGGATCCGTGTGTATATGAATAGGTGCTCCTGTCCAAGGCGTACCTTTTCCGGTGCAAGCTCTTCGGCACCGGCTGCACCCCGCGCCTTCCGGCCGCCTGAGGCCCCGCCCGCCCGCGCCCTGTCTCCCCAATTAGTGCTTTGCGCGCCCTGCCTAGCTCTTAACCGGAAGAGGCCCGCTCTCGACCCGCAGACCGAAAAAGTGTATATGAATAGGTACAACTATGTGCATGTGTATGTGTGAATGTAGATGTCTGTGTTTATGCATATGTGCATGTATCTGTATTTGTATGTGTAAATGTTGTTGTCTGTGTGTGTCTGCACTATACTTACAGATGCGTAATTATGCGTATAACTACAGATCTATGCATTAACGCAAAATTAGATACACACTCAGATCGAAGTGTATATCTCCATATCCACCGCCGCATGAAGTCCCATGTCGTCGGATCTCAGGCTTTGGATATGGAGACGCCCCCGCCTCACATGTAATATGCGATCAGGAGCGTTGTCTCAGCATGTCGCGCCGCCGGCTCTGGCCAAGTCGCGCTTCGGCGCAACACGTTAGCTTCCAAGCGTCAACGTCCCGAGTATTTCCCATCCTCCCGCCCCGCGAAGCAGAGCGTCGTGCTATCCGCTTGCAAGGCATCACGTGTCGCCTGGGCTGCCGCCGCGACACGCTAAGCAATGGTTCCTGACCAGAAGCAGTCCTGGGCGTTCACGAAACAACCCTGCCATGCTTGGTTCCCTCCAGAGGCACGCTTACCACAGGGCTTCGCTTGTGTCAGGGACATCATCTGGGGGAGCATCGGCCCCCAATCGCCCATTCATCGCCGGCCCAGTCAGGTCAACATTTCCTCGCTGAGCCAGTCCTCCCACCCCAACTTATCGTTCCCCCTCCGCGTGGGGGTGCGGGTGGTCTGGGTCTTGCTGCTCTCCAAGGCAGGCCTTCGGCACTGTGGCTGCCGCTGCGCGGGCCGTCCCTCGTGGTGGCGGAAGGCGCCTCGCGATTCGACGGCCCAGCGCCGCCCGGCGAGCGGAGCGGCGTGGTGGCCCTACCAGGCGCTTCGTGGCCGTGACGAGAAGATATGTCCTCCTCCCCGAAGTCCTCGCGCCGTGAAAATAAAAAAACTACCCCGAAGGGAAAGAGAACAGGTATGCTTGCATGGGGTTCATGAGCGACAGGTTTTGTTCCCAACCATCCTGTGGTGTTGGATCCTCGTTTTGAAGAGGTAGCCCGCGCGTCTCCTCCTCTCCTCTCCTCCTCCTCCTACTCCCCCTCATCCCTCCTCCTATTCCTCCCCCTCCCCTCATACGCTTCGTGGCCCTAGGGAGCTCCACAGAAAGTCCCAGTGGCGCCGTCCGCATGGCGACGCCGCCCCATTTCGGCACGCTCCTCGCACGTTTCGTTGCCCCATGGGGAGCTCCACCTGAGGTACCAGTGGCGCCGTCCGCATGGCAGCGCCGCCCCATTTCGGCACACCCCTCACACGCTTCGCGGCCCCATAGGGAGCTCCACCTGAGGTCCCAGTGGCGCCGTCTGCATGGCGTCGCCGCCCCATTTCGGCACACCCCTCACGCGTTTCGTCGCCCCATAGGGAGCTCCACCTAATGTCCCAGCGGCGCCGTCCGCATGGCGGCGCCGCCCCATGTCGGTACACCCTTCACGCGCTACGTGGCCCCATAGGGGGCCCCACTCAAGGTCCCAGTGGCGCCGTCCGCATGGTGGCTACTCCACCTAGGTCCCAGCGGCGCCGTCCGCATGCGCCGTACCTATTTCGGCGCACCCCTCACAGGTTTCGCGGCCCCATAGGGAATTCCGCGGGCGGCCCCAGTGGCTGTTTTCGCGTGCGCCCACCGCGCAACGTTTGGCACACTCCTGACGCATTTCGTGGCCCTATAGGGAGCTCCTCCGAATGCGTTGCATACAACGACGGTATTCTCAAGTGCATATGGTTGAGTCCTTCGCCAGGCTAATTGGTAGTTTCTTCCGCGACACCTTTTCCCCAACCATCCCGTGGTGTTGGGCCATCGTTTTGAAGAGGGCGCCCCGCGTCTTCTTGCTCCTCTCCTCTCTTCTCCGCTCTTTTCTCCTCTCCTCCTCCCCCTCCTCCCTCCTTCCAGTCCCAGTCCTCCCTCTCCTCCCCCCTCCTCCATCATCACCATCATCATCATCATCATCATCATCATCATCATCATCATCATCATCATCATCATCATCATCATCGTTATCATCATCATCATCATCATCATCATCATCATCACTATCAGCATCAGCATCATCATCAGCAGCATCGTCATCGTCATCATCATCAGCAGCAGCATCACCCATATCAGCACCTTCTTCTTCTTCATCAGCAGCATCGTCAACATCATCAACATCATCAGCACCAACATCATCAGTCCGTAACAATGTTGGTTCAAGTCATCTTTTGATTTCTCCGAGCCCCTTTACTCATTGGCCAGAGGCGAGCCTCTTCGCCCATGGACTGGAGGCGCGCTCAGGAAGCTTGAGTTTCTTGATTCGGAGGTTCCCGTTTGACCGCTTGTTGGCTACGTGACCAGCTACCACCTCCAGCACAAAATGCCCTCGAAGTACAACATGCTGGCTGCCCGAGTTCGCATCCTTGAGAGAAAGATGCGTACCACGACACCGATGGCTCTTTGCAGGCCCACGCCATCCGCCGACACCGTTTTCTTTGTGAAGTTCTACAGCGTAACGTGCACTACCCGACACAAGCGCTGAGTCAGGCGCGCTGGGCGGTCGGCGACCGTGTCTATCGCCGTGACCGTCGCCTCTTTCGCCGCGCCGCTACAGAGAGGCACGAGGTCTCCCTGGACAAGTGCGAGAAGAACGAAGTTGGGCAGGCGGGAGTCGTGTCTGAGCTCCGACGCGAGGCACCTGAGTTCGTCCCTCTCCGCGGGCGACAGGGACACCCGTGTCGAGAAGCATCAGTGCGCGGTCCTCCTGGGTGCTCTTGGTCACGAAGCCATCAACCCGGACAAGGATGATAATGACAACCATATGCCTGGTCTTGCGGGTCGTTCTGGCTGTGCGGACCTTCCTGCTTCTGCGGACCTTTCTGGTCCTGCGGAACTTCCTTGTTCTGCGGATCTTCTCGGGGGTCCTGCTGATCTTCCTGGTTGTGCGGATCTTCGACCAGGTGGTGGGGATCTTCCTGGTCCTGCGTTTCTTCCTGAGTGTGTGGGTCTTCCAGGTCCTGCTGACCTTCCTGTTTGTGCGGATGTTCTTCCTTGTCCTGCGGATCTTCTTGGTCGTGCTGATCCTCTCGGGGGTCTCGCGGATCATCATAGACGCGCGGATCTTCTCAGTTCTGCGGGTCTTCTCGGAGGTCCTGCTGATCTTGCGGATCTTCGACCAGGCCGCGGTGATATTTCTGGTCCTGCGGTTCTTCCTGGTTGTGCCGGTATTCCTGGTCCTGCGGAGCTTCTTGTTTGTGCGGATGTTCTTCCTTGTCCTGCCGATCTTTTTTTTGGGTTGTGTTGGTCTTCTCTGAGGTTTTGCGGATCTTATTGGATACGTCAGCTCTCTCGCCTACGGTCTCGCTCATACCCGGCAGACACCCTGGGCTCTCTGACGCTCTACTTGCACGGAGTCAAAATCCCCACTGCCCTGTGGTCGTCGGACCGGGCTCGACCCTGGGGATGTGCATCGCGCCATTTTGGCAGCGTAATTCCTGCTCCCTGGGTGCCTGTCTCCCCTCAGACTCCCTGGGCTGCAGCCTGCACCGCCGCCTGATCCGCGGCCCGCGCGCGCGCCCGCTAATTCGTTACGGCCGCAGCCCGACCGTGACCCGCCGCCGCCGGCGCTTCCGCCTGCGGCTGTAAAAAAAAGGATCTTATTGGATGTGCGGTTCTTCGACCAAGTCGTGGTGATCTCCTTGGTCCTGCGGATTATCCTGGTTGTGCGGACATTCCTGGCCATGTGGGTCAAGCTGTTCGTGCCGATCCTCATGCGGTCGTCTTTTGTGCCGTTCCTGTTGACGAGTTTCGTGCCGTTCGACAGCTGGCAGCGGAACAACTGCCGGCTCGCGTCTCCCTGGACATGGCTCTCGCGGTGGCGATTGAAGCCCCTGCGCTTCCGATTGGTTCTTCGGAGCCTGTCGCGCCGAGCTCTCCGATGAAGCGGGCCGCGCCGATCCGTCGGATCAAGCTGTCCGCGCGGATATTCTTTGTGGGCCTCGTGGTGCGGCGGTGACGGAGCGAGATCGATGTCGGCAGCTGCTCCGGAGGATGGGAGTGACCGCTGAGACGGGCGCTTCCCTCCGTTCGGTTGCTTGCTCTGGCAATGGGCCTTTTCTTCGGAATGTTCCTGATGTTGACATTGGCAGATGGCTTAAGCAATGGGGCTGAGCAAACCCGCATCATCATCATCATCATCATCGTCATCATCATCATCATCATCACCACCATCACCATCACCATCACCATCACCATCATCATCATCGTCATCATTATCATCATCATCATCATCATCATCATCATCATCATCATCATCATCATCGTCATCACCATCATCACCAATCATCGTCATCGTCAACGTCGGGATCATCAGCATCATCATCGCAGTCATCATCACCATCGTCGTCATCATCACCATCATCGTCATTATCGTCATCGCCGTTATCGTCACCATCATCGGCACACATTTCGGCACACCTTTCACACGTTTCGTGGCCCCACAGGAGCTCGACCAAGGTCCCCGTGACGCCGTCCGCATGGCGGCACCGCCCCAATTTGGCACACCCTTCACATTTTTCGTGGCCCCGCAGGGAGCTCCATCGAAGGTCCTAGAGGTGTCGTCCGAATGGCGGCGCCGCTCCATTTCGGCACGCCCCTCGCGCGTTTCGCGGCCCCATAAGGGAGCTCCACCTAAGGTCTCAGTGTCGCCGTCCGCATGGCGGCGCCACCCCATTTCGGTGCACCCCTCACACGCTTCGTGCCCCCATCGGGAGCTCCACCCAATGTCCCAGTGGCGCCGTCCGCATGGCGGCGCCGCCCCAATTCGGCACACACCTGACACACCTCGTCGCCCCATAGGGAACTCCACCTCAAATCCCAGTGGCAGCGTTCGCGTGCGTTTCCCCCACGCAGTACACGTTTCGTGGCCCCTTAGGGAGCTCCGCCGAAGCTCCAGTGGCGGTGTCCGCATGCGCTTTCCCTACCCAATACAGCGTTTCGTGGTCCCATAGGAAAGTCAACAGAAGGCGCCAGTGGCGGTGTCCGCATGCGTTTTCACCCACCCAGTACAGCGCTACGTGGCCCCATGGGTAGCCCCACCGAAACCATCAGTGGCGGCGTCCGAATGCGTTTCCCCCACCCACTACAGCGCTCCGTGGCCCCATAAGGAGCTCCATCGAAGGCCCCAGTAGCGGTGTCCGCACGAGTTTCCGCCACCCAGCACAGCGCTCCGTGGCCCCATGGGGGGCCCCACCGAAATCCCCAGGGTGGCGATGTCCGCGTGCGTTTCCCCCCTCCCAGGCGCCAGTGGCGGTGTCCGCACGAGTTTCCGCCACCCAGCACAGCGCTCCGTGGCCCCATGGGGGGCCCCACCGAAATCCCCAGGGTGGCGTTTCCCCTCACCCAGTACAGCGTCTGTGGCCCCATAGGAAGCTCCACCGAAGGCCCCAGAGGCGGCGTCTGCATGCGTTTCCCCCATCCAGCGCAGCGTTTGTGGCCCCATGAGGGAGCTCCACCGAAAGCCTCAGTGGCGATGTTCGCGTGCGTTCCCCTACACTGTGCAGCGCTTCGTGGCCCCACAGGGAGATCCACCGAAGCTCCAGTGGCGATGTTCGCATGCGTTTCCCCACCCAGCACAGCGCGTCGTGGCCCCATAGAGAGGTCCACCGAAGGCCCCAGTGTCGGCGTCCGCACGCGCCCCCTCACTCATTACAACGCTTCGTGGCCTCATATGGAGCGCCACCGAAGGCCCAATGGCTGCGCCCGCGTGCGTCCCCGCCCCATTTCGGCACACCACTCACACGTTTCGTGGCCCCATATGGAGCGCCACCGAAGGTCCCAACGGCTGTGCCCGCATGCGTCCCCGCCTCATTTCGGCACACCTTTTGCACGCTTCGGTGCCTCATAAAGAGATCCACCGACTGCGATGCCCACAACGGCGATACCCACACTTGTACATGGTTGGGCCCTTCGCCAGGATAATTTCTCCCCAGTTGCGCGGCGCATGGACCCCCTGACATTCTCGTCAACCCCAGGAGGGAGTTGGCGGCCATGGGTGGGGTCTTCGCGCTGAGACAACTGGACCGAGTGGCAACCAAATTGCCGAGTGGGCTGGGCGAGGGCCCGTCTCCTAAGAGGCCCGCTCCAAGCGTGCAGGAGGGCACCAGGGAGGCGCAACAGGCGCGCTTCAGCCTGGCGCTCGCGAGTTGGAGGCTTCCGGTTGTCCAGCCAGTGGGGACGCGGATCAGTGTGACTGTGAGTGCGAGCCGATCGAGTGCCCGACGGGGGAGCCGGCAGCCGAGCCAGACGACGTGAAGGATTTGTGGAAGGCGGCCGCCTTCGGAGGATCTGTCTGCTGGAATCAAGTCCGTGTCCTGTTGAGCACGGTGAGCAGCTGCTGCAGACGCGAGGGCGGTGGTGGCAGCTCGACGAGGAGGTCGTCGACCTCTGCTCGCGCTGTGGAACGGCACCGCCGTCGCGGCGGCGGAGTGTTCGCGCAGGATGGTCCCAGGCATGTGCTTGGGAGTGTGGTACGACGACGACGACGACGACGACGTGTGGCACGCGCGGTTGCTAATCTACCCCAGGGTTGGCAAGTGGCGCTTCCTGACCCCAGACTTGGACTCGTGCGAGAAGGATGTGTCTTGCCAGGATGATCAGGACGGGCCCTCATGGTCCATCGTACTGGACGACGCCAGACAGGATAATGCGTTGGCGCCGAAGCCGTTCTACCGATCCTCGGGGTACCCCGCAGGGCACCTTCTAGCAGGCGGATGGCCTATCGATGCGCCCCTTGTGAAGGCGGGAGGGCCTCAAAGCCTCCAGCATTGGGAGAAGCAGCTCTCCAAGGCGGGCGTCAGACACTGCTGGTAGGAGGCCTCCCCCTGCCCCCCTTTGAGCAGCAGCCTCCGTCGTCACGCAGACGTCCTGACCGCCACCCGCCGCGGCATCCCTGGCGGCCCCCACGGACCCACACGTTCAGGGAAGCTCAGGAGAGGTGAAGTCGCAGGTCCAGAGGTTGACACAAACATTAAGTCGGGCCTGTCCCTCTACAGGGGGATTTTCGACGAAAAATAAAAAAATACACCAAAAATAGTCCAAACATAATCCAAAAATAGTCTGGGGACTATTTTTTGAGTTGTTTCACCTTTTTCAGAAATTTTGGGGGTATTTTTATGTTTCGTCGAAAATCCCCCCGTAGGGGGACAGGCCCGACTTAACACCAACACCAAGATCGGCGGTGTGCCTCCACCGAGGGCAGACGATCCCGATCTCGGTGATGGTGGTAATATTCTGGCTTCCGAGGTGACCTGAACATTACCACCAGCACCGAGATCTAGGATCAGACTCCCCATGTGGAGGCAACCCCCCGTGCTGGTGTTGGTGCTAATTTTCAGGCCTCCAATGAAGATGGGCGAGGGCAAGATGGCAAGATGGTGCTTGCCAATGCGCCGTCTGTGCGCCAGGCTTGACTGACTGACGGCAAGGTTGTGCGTTTTGGTGTGCGCCTGTCGGCTCAGCACTCGCTGGCGGTGTGCCGAGGGGGGCGGCCGCTCGCCCACGGAGCGGCGCGGGAGGCTGCCATCCGTGCGGTATCTGCGAGCGTCCCACCATGCGTGGTTGTCAGAATGTTCTCAGGTTGTCCTCCTCCCTTCTCTATCCTCCCTCGGTGCTCCCGCCGTTCTCCATCCATGACTGCACAGTCAAGGCGCTGAAATAAGGAACTGCTTGGGTTCGGAAGGGGCTCGGTGTTCCCCAGGTTCCTCCATTGCTGTCCCTCTCGCCCTCCTCGGGCACGGAGGCGCTTTTACGTTCCTTATGTAGCGTTCCTGCTTTCAGGGGCCCGACTGTACTTCGCTCCCCCCTCAGCCCCCTCCCAGAGCAGTCAAGCGGATGAAGCAGCAGTGACGAGCAGACTGCGGGAGCTGAGGGCGAGGGGGGGTCGTGGGTGGAGGAGAAGGGGGCAAGGCGGAAGGAAGCGAGGATAAGGAGGAGAGAGCGATGAGCACGCGGGGAGGAAGGAGCAAAAGGAGAAAGGAGGAGGTCGTCAAGCCTCGAAGAAGCGCCTGCGCCTCGAGCCGAAGTCGTCCCGCGCTGGCGGTGCACAGGACTGCAGCGGACCTGAATGGAAGTGCAGCGCGTGCGGATGTCAAGAGTGGTACTGGAACTCCGTGGCGGAGAAGAGGCTCTGGGGATGTTAACTCGCGCCGCCTCGACGCGGCGGCGATGCTGGCGCAGGAGTTGAAGGCTGAACTCCCTCCAGGGGCCCGCGTCGGGCCCGGGGACCCACGGCGCGACGTCCAAACGAAGCACGGGCTCGAGGGCCACAGTGCACCTCGCAGAGCGGAAATCGCTCAAGACAGCGGTTCGCGCAGTGTCAGGAAACAGGGCCCGCGTCGTCTCCAGGGGGCTCCGAGGCCATCCAGAGGCCTCCCCAGACATCCGGCGATGTGATCTTCCAGTGCGTGGCCCCAGAGGTCCCTGGTCCTGCCTCGGGGGCAGGCTTTCGTCTTGGATCCATGCTTGAAGGCCCTTGGGGCTTGACAAGACGGACCGCAAGGGCAGAATCATCAAGGGAAAACTCTGGGATTGCAAATGGGGAGCCGGCCGTAAGGCGTCAGCCTGCTCACCGCCGGGAACCTCGTAGAGCTGAAATGTTTTTCCGCACCAGGAAGCCCAGGGAAGGTAACCACTGAGATTGTGAGGCCATCCCCAACAGTGAAACGCATCGCTTTTGTAGCGCCAGCATGAAGTCGGCTCCCGGAAGTGAATCGGTAGAAATATATCACACCAGACAAAAGCCCCAATCAGTGGATGGTTTTCGCTGAGGAGATCGACCGGGAACCCAGGAGCCCGGGAACCCAGAATCCACCGAAATCGGCCCAGAACCAATCACCGGGAACGCGGGAACCCGGAAATGGGAACCCGGGAACCCAGCCTGCTACCAAAATCGGCGGGAATCTCTCGCCAAATCTTGCAACTTCCGCTAGGACCCCTTCAGTGCAAGCAGTGATTGGGGAAATATAGCACGCTCCCAGCGTCTCGGCATCGTTTGGACGCGTGCAGTTTTTCAAGCAGTGGCGAAGCGTCCCGGCTCGCCTATAGGCCCACCAGAGAATGTTCTGAGTTTTTTGTTGTGGCTTCCTCGGAATGTTCTGAGAACATTTCTGGCCGGGATTGTCTTGCTTGGACACATCAGGCTTGTGATCTAAGAAAATTGTTTTGTTTTGGGGACATTTCTGGGTTGTAAGAACATTTTTTGTGGTAGGCCTATAGAAATGCCAGGACGGTCGGTCCCTGCTTATTTTTTTCTCGGCGGGAGCTGTCGAGGAGCATCTCTGGGCATCTGGCGAAAACATACACGCACGACATCGAATAATGCACGGGGAATGAACGTCCGACCGATGGCAAGGTGTCGGCTTACACGTCGGAGTTACCCTGCGCAGGAGCGACTTTTGGTGCATGCCCGCTTGGGCCCCCGATCGCCGCATGCGATGCGATAGCAGCGGCTTGAGCGCTTGGGGTTGGCCCCCCTCTGCCCCTCGAGAACCGGGCACCAACGGTCACTCTTGTCTGGTTTACAGTGTGGCTCTGGCCAGGGGCTCAGTGCGATCTAAACGGGTGCGGGAAAGACTGGGACGAAGACTGAAAGCGGTCGCTGTCCACTTTGAACAGGGCTCGTTGTCGGTGCCGCCGCGGCCCTTGCCCATTCAAGGCAGGAGCCCGCCCGCCAAGTAGCGGCCGCTGTTGGTCTTGGGCAGCGTTCGCTGCTGGGCGCTGTGCCGTGCTGTGTCCGCAACCATACTGGGCATGCCAGGGGGCTGCGCATGGGGCATCGGCGGGGGCGCGGTGGTGGCCGCGCTGCGCTGCCCAGGACGGAGATTCAGGACCTGCGGTGGTCCAGCGGCAGCCAAAGACACAACAAAAAACGATCGCGCCAGGTGTTCTGTTTTACTCCGGGGCAACGTTAGGTGGGGATATGCTCAGGGGGGGACGCATCGATTTCTCATCGCCCATAGATCGCCGGTAGGGGCCCGATAGCCCACCCCGCCCATGAACGTGTAGATTCACTATCCGGGGCCGGTCGACGTTTCCCCCCCTGGCCAGTTCCCTCATATCATAGAGCCTCACTTGCACGTTCTGCCTCTAGTCGCCGTTTCCAGGCCCAAGGGCCTGCCAAAAGGAGTCCAACAGTTTGTCTTCGCGAAGCCGAGATGTCGGGGGGCGGGAGGCTCGAACCAAAATCGACCCGTCGGAGATCTGCGTACCAGGGAGTTGGACACACATCACGCGGCCAGCCTGGGGGCGAATTGTATGCACACGTGGCCACATGTGTTTCCAGCTCTCGGCCTTTCTATGACCAGGCACGCTGGCCCTCAGCATGTGTATCCAGCACGTGATTTCCAGATGGTCTCCTCCTCCTCCTCCTCCTCCTCCTCCTCCTCCTCCTCCTCCTCCTCCTCCTCCTCCCCCACATGTGACCCCGCCATGCGCGTTCCAGCTTCCTGGGATCTGGGATAGAGACTTGTCCTTCTCCAGATGGGCCGTGAGAGCGCGAGGATGGATCGCTCTCCGCTCAGATGGGAGCGCGGAGTTGGAAGACCGATATGGAGCCCAGGGTTGGCTTGGCTAGGTCTCAGGGTCTAGCGACAATCAGCCAAAAGCGGGTCCTCGGGCCCCTCTTGGACACCAGCCTGACCCGTTTCCCGATCCGCGCCCAGCTGTGGCGACGAGAAAATGAGAAACAATCCAGCAAAACCTCTAGCGAGGAGGAGGCGGAGGAGGAGGAGGAGGAGGAGAAGCATGAGGAGGAGGAGGAGGACAAGAGATCCGCGGAGGCTTCCGCAGGTCTCCCGAGGCTCCTGGAGGTCGTATGAGGCCTCTGCAAGAGGCCTCATGGAGGCCTCTGGAGGTCTCTTCGATATTTCCGGAGCCCTAGAAGTTACCACAAAACGCTCAAGAGGTTCGAGCCTCAAAAAATGGGGGAGGAGGAGGAGGAGCAGAGGCAGCAGGGGGAGGGGTGAGGAGCAGGGGGTGGTAGAGGAGGAGGAAGAGGAAGAGGAAGAGGAGAAGATCAGTGTAGATGGATGCTCGGTGTCCCCCAGAGGGGGTCTGGCATTCTCAGAAATGAGGGGCCCTTTGAGGAGCGCTTCTGCCTCCTAGGATACCTTCTTACAATCATCCGACCCCTTCTAATAATCATGCTGCCTTCTTAGAAGGTGCAATAGTCACTGGAGCGAGGGGGGAAAGGAAGAGTTGCATCATGTGTCCAGGGGTAGTGTTGTTGCCTTGCTGTGGTTGTCTGCATTTTGCGAACAGGGTTGGTCTGTGTCACGTACCTGAAAGCATCCCACCCCGCGCGCCTCCTCCTGCGCGCCGCCAGCACAGGTGCCACGTGTGCGGGCACACGTCAACAGCACGCAGCCAGGCCGAGGCGACGAGCGCGGCGCTGGAGCGACCCGCGGCTGCCGCCTCGTCCGAGGCGCGCGACACAGAAGGAGTAGGAGTAGGATGGGGCAGCGTTGCAAAAGGCTTGCGGCCGGTGAGAGCCAAGAGGGCAGAGGAGGGGGGGAGAGAGGGGGCAGCAGGGCAGAGAAGGGGAAGGGGAAGCCAGCAGGGGGCCAGCGCGCGCGACCTTTCTCCTCCCGCCTCCAGGCCGCGTCGTTCTAGCCTCTCCTTTCCTCCTTCAGGCTCAGGGACTGGACCCTTGACGAAACTCACGAACCTGCGGACAAAACAGCTTGGGCGGAAGGGGGGCTGGAGGCAAGGAGCACTGGCGGTTCTGATGCGAGGGCGAACATCTGGTGGCATTCGGCCCATCTGCCATTGCGCTTGGGTCATGTTCCAGAGGCCATGGGGATACGTTCGGGGCCCTTGGGGGGCCTCTGGGGGTGACTCCTGGGGGCCTTGGTGGCACGCTTGGATGTACCTTGGAACGTCTTGGGGTGGTTTTGGGATCATGTCGGAAGGGGTGGCTTCCAGCGGCGCGGCGGCAATGTGCTTGCTTCGTGGGGCGTTGCTTGGGGCCCTCTTGGGCCATCTTGGGCTAATCTTGGGGGCTGTTCGGGCTGTCCTGCACGCTCTTGTAACCAGTGCGGCGAGGATGTGAAAACCGCTCCGAAGCCAGAGGATTCGGCTGAGAACACTTCACGCGTTCGAGGGTCGAAGATTCAAGATCCAGACGGTTCGCACAGCTGAAAGCCACAGGTGGTGGAAGAGGATGCGGGGCGAGAGAGCAGGGCCCTGGAGCGGGGACGGGGGGGAAGGGGCTTACATGGCCGCTGCTTCGTGGACATGCTGGTCGAGATAGGCCTGGTCAGTGCAAGCTTCGATCTCGAGACGGGGTGAACATTGGGCGGGCTCGTAAGGAAGGCCTCGGTTCTCAAGGTTCTGGGCGCCGCTCCGCCTCCTCTCGTCGCCAAACATTGTGAATTTGGAAAACGGTTCAAATGGATGCCGCTTTCGCGCAGCGGAATGAGTGGGAGGAAGGGAGGAGGAGGAGGAGGACGAGGAGGAGGAGGAGGAGGAAGAGGAGGAGGCTGCTACATGCACTACATCCAGAATGTGGCCACGATTCTAGCCGACACGGCAACAGCAATCCGACAGGAGGAAGGACAAGAAACCATCAACGAAGGGAATGGACTACGCCGCGACGCAGCTACGATAACTGTTGCCAAATCAGCAGGGTACAGACGCCAACCTTGACAACCTCTCGACACCGTATCACCACCGACAGCGATCACGACCACTAGCAGGCCCGATAGGACACCGCTACGAGGCAACAGGGCACAACCCACCTACATACTATTACTACCCCAGCATGTACGACACGACCATGACATTCATCACCTTGAGACAAACCACATTACGCATCACTGAACCTGCATCTTCATAGTTACGAGCGACGGCGCACACACCGACTTAGCAGCAGCCGAAGTCACCGAAACTAAGATCGCAAGGACCACACACGGAGCAGTTGCAGCAACCATTACAATAAACAACGAGACCATGGGGTCCTATCGCGACAAACACCGCGCAACCAACCAGAATTGGGGCACACAGAACCGCCCAATTTCGCAGCTGGACAAGGCACGCCGTGCCAACCGCAGATTGCAGAACCTAATTCTCATACTCAATGTGGCACAACCCACCAAGACACCCGCAATCATGCTAACCAAACACGAAGAGCATCACACAGGGACCATCACCTGGCAGATACCTCAACTAAGGCAACTACGCTCTGTTGCACAGAACGCTGGCTTCGACCTATGTACAATGGGTGACCCACACGGGCCCCGACCAAATTCACGACGTTGCACATTTCATTCAGAACTGGTACAGGTCGTGCAGAAAAGATGCAATCATAGCATATGCGACTGCGACACACACGACACAGAAACAACAGCGCCCATTACTGGTAGCTACAACATACCAACAATTCCATGCCAACGAATCACTATGTGTGTTGCACATCGACTTGCCAAGTACCCTCAACCACAGACGCCACACGACCACGACGGTGACTTACCATTCGACCCTTACATAAATTGATATAGAGTGCCACATCACAACGCACATAGAAGACACAGCAGGCCCGACGCACCAAGGCAGGGCACAAAGCACACCGACACACACACACACCCTCTAAACACAGCTCTAGTAGCACCATTTGAATTAGCACAGCTCACCATACGCAGCACTACCGACATGATACACATTTAACCTGGCCCGGCACAGAAACGGAAAGAGCGCTTCAGAAACAGAAACAGAAATTACTCACACCACCGTTCGTATTGGGAGCCTTGGCGTTGAGAGCTTGTTACGTCACCCCTCGCTCTTGGGAGCCTTGGTGTTCAGAGATTGTTGCGTTGCCGCCCGTTCCTGAGCCTTGGCTGGGCCTTGGTGTCAGGAACTTGTTACGTCACCGCTCTCTGCTGGGAGCCTTGGTCTTATCAGCTTGTTTACGTCACCGTTCGCTCTTGGGAGCCTTGGTGTGAAGAGCTTTTTGCGTTACCGATCGCTCTCTATTTGGCGTCTCTGGGCCTTCTTGGGAGTCCTATTGGGGCCCTTGTCGGGCCCTTTTGGAGGCATCTTGGGAACCTCTTGGGGGCCTCTTGGGGCTTCTTGGGGGGCTCTGGGGGCCTCCTGGGAGCTTCTTGGGGCGAAAGGCTAGACTTTTCGGTTCGTGGTCCCCCTCTTGGGGCCGTCTTGGGCCGTCTTGGGCGCCTCTTGGGCCGTCTTGGCGCCCTCTTGGGCCGTTTTGGGGGCCTCTTGGGAGCCTCTTGGGCCGTCTTGGGGCGGTCTTGGGGGCCTCTTGGAGCGTCTTCAACGCAGTGAAAGCCGAAAAGCCTTGTATGCTAAAAATGTATTGTCCCCATAGGAAATCAATGATTTTCGCCTCCCGGTGGCCTCTTGGGACGCCTCTTGGGGGCCTCTTGGGGCTTCTTGGGGGGCTCTGGGGGCCTCCTGGGAGCGTCTTGGGGCGAAAGGCTAGACTTTTCGGTTCGTGGTCCCCCTCTTGGGGCCGTCTTGGCGCCCTCTTGGGCCGTCTTGGGGCCCTCTTGGGCCGTCTTGGGGCCCTCTTGGGCAGTTTTGGGGGCCTCTTGGGAGCCTCTTGGGCCGTCTTGGGGCGGTCTTGGGGGCCTCTTGGGCCGCCGTCAACGCCGTGCAAGCCGACAAAGCGCATATGCTAAACATATACGTTTTCTGTTTGGAAAATCGATGATTTAGGCCTCTTGGGGCCCTCTTGGGACGCCCCTTGGGCGCCTCTTGGGGGCCTCTTGGGGGCCTCTTGGGCCGTCTTGGGCGGTCTTGGGCTCTCTCGGAGCGCTCTTGGGCCGTCTTGGGGGGGAACCCGAAAAACATGCAAAAACCCGAGGGAAAACCCGAAAACGGCCATTAACACGCAGGTCCGCACGCTTCGCCCCTCCCCTGGAACCCCTCCCTTTAGGGCTTCGCCCACACCAGAACGTCATCACTCGTACCTCGCTCTTTCCGTTATACCACTTTCAAGCGACACCTACGCAACATCTGACCACATCGACAACCACAACCAGGCCAGCATTATGACCAGTAGACTTACGACAGCACCGAATGCAAGCCTCATACCCTGAACGGGGATCCAAACGGGCATATCTGGGGTAGAGGCAGAGCCCTGGCCAGTTAGTAGTACGAGGTAGTGATGATTGCACATGTCTGCCCTCATCTTTACAAGTCAACTTGCTAGATTCCGAACCCTTGCCATTGATGATCACATGCCGCGACAAAAGAGGCACACCTTACATGCATGGCCAGCCACGTTGTTTTCTTCGTATAAAAGACTGGAGCCACAAATCCTGCGCGCATCGTGACATACAGGGACCTATATTACACAAGCTTCCCAGTAAGTACCGCTGCCGCATCAAGACCCAGTCACTTCCACACGCCTTATAGCTACACCCTTACAGTATACCATGGACCAGACTTATCAGCATAGTCATGCCGCATGTCCCTCACATGTTCAGTCTTTCATTACCAAGGAACTGGCATTATTGCGCGCTTGTCGGATGCGACGCGGTGCTACAGGGGGCGAGTCTCGATGCAAGATGACTACACGCAGACCACGATGAGGAATCTGCTGTTCAATTATACGAGGGACCATGCACGCGGATAACACAGACTACCTTCTCACAGTTTGACGTGGTCATGCCTCGTGGAACAAACGGAACGCCAAGGCATATTCGACCATTGTTGTTGTTTTGGGATCCAACCAGAGTTGCCGCGCCACGCGTTGCCTGTCCCACTGCGCTGCCCGGCGCTACGTTACGCAGCAAGCGCAGCAACTAACAGCATTACGACCAGCAGGCACGCGAGAACGCCGGCTACAAGCCCCACGCCCTGCGCGGGAGCCCGCGGTGGCACGCCTTGGAGAGGGGCGCCCAGTTGGTAACGTGCGACGAAAGATTGTCTCATCAACTGTTCTCCCAATTTCATGCTAATCCTGCTCTGACGACTACGCCATCATGGAGGTTCGCATGCTTTGACATTGGACATGCACCTTGCGGATTTGGCCAATTATGTTGCTTTCGCAACAGGACAACAAAGATTAGTTGGGTCACGCAAGGGGCCACATGAATGCGTCTCCCACTCATGCTGGCATTCTTGCGCTCGGGGCAGCTTCTCACGCGCGTGACTGCGCATTCACGCACTGCCGGATGATGGGGCAGCCGCTCTCGCGCGCCTGCCTGCGCGGCCGCGCGCAGCCGGTGGCGCCTGACGCATTATCCTTGCAGGTGCACTCTGACATCTTCAAGGGGCAGGCTCTCCCACGCGCCTCTTGGGCGCGCCGGGGGCTTGCGTGGGGCAGTGCTCAAACGCGGACAGCATGCGCATGCGTGACAGGGTGTGATACGCCGCTGCAGCACACGATGGGCCGCGCGCACGGTTGACCGCGTTTGTCTGTCTCTGACCGACGCGACATCTTTGACGTTAGTCATGCGAAGT